CGAATATTTTTAATTTTATATATTTTTTTATTTATATTTATTCATATTTATTAAATATTATATTTATTTGGTCTTCTATTCTATTTCAGGCACTTGATTTAATTTTCACACTTAATTGTTTTCTTATGTCAGAATTGATTTTTTCTTATAAATTTTAATGAAAATATTTAAAAATATGTTATTATGTATTTTTATATTTATATTTATTTATTTATTATTTCTTATTTATTTATTATTTATATATTTATTTTATTTATTTATTTTTTAAAAATTGAAATGTTACCTAAAATCGCTTTAAAGTTTTTCGTAAACCAAAGCCATATTAACGTATTTTCCCTGAAAAGCCACGCTCTGTCTCTAACTCGAACAAAGATTTCCTTTCAAAGAATAATCAACATTTAGTTTGTCCATAAATGTACGCGTATTATATATTCATTTCCCAGGGAGAGGAGTACACAAAACTTCCTACGTACTGTTCCAGCTGCTGCTGCTGCTGCTGCAGATATTTTTGTGCTTAGGAGAAGCTCCAACCGGAAATTGTGCTTATGCAATTGCACACCCCCTTCCTGCCCACCATTCATAACCGGAAGAGAGTCCTTCGAAGAGTCCAACAAGAAAAAGAAAAAAAATTACAAAAACTTGTCGAAAAAAGTAAAGAAGAAAAAGCGGGAGAGAGAGAGAGAGAAAAGTAAAACTCCAAAGAAAACTCCACTCTAAAAGCTGAAGCTAAAGCTGCTGCTGAACTCTAGACAATGGCAGTGTAATTTGCAGTTGAAATGTTAAGCAAAACGTAATAACTGCAAAAAGAGTTGACAATGTTCCCCCAATGCGTCCAGAGTTTCCACTTTCTATACAGTTATTTTTTTTCTACACTGATTTCCCTTCTGCTTTTCTATTCTTTGCTGCTGGCATGGCTGCTGCGGCTGCTGCTGCTGCTGCTGCTGCTGGGGCCCTGTCAACAGCAATAAAAGTCAATTGTCAACGTTGACTGGCATTCTTTAGAGCTAGTGTGTGTGTGTTTCAGAAAGTGTGTGTGTGTGTGTGTTGCACAGAGAGAGAGAGAGAGATAGAGAGAGGGAGAAAATCTAAATGGGGTACTGGACGAAAGATTTTCAGGTATTCAGTGCTGGCTTTGCCTTTGCCTTTCGCCTGTCACTTAACATTTTTCTCCAATGTCCAAAAAGTAACACAGTGCGAAAGAGATGGGCTAAGGGGATAGAAAAAAAAGAGATAGCTAGCTAGATGTATGCAGTGAGCAAGAGCTAGACGAGGGCGGAGTGGTGAACGGGTCTGCTATGCAGAAATCAGAAAATGCTTCATAAAAACGGAAATGAAAACAAATGAAAAATGATTTCTTTTGCTTATGGGGGTAGAAAGCAAATTGTTCCACCTACATACAGGTGTTTCCTTGTGCCATTCCTGTTATTGCATGTGCGCCCCCCCACCGCCCCCATAAATGCTTGTTGCAACTAAATTGCATTTGCACCTGTCCAATGTCCAATGTGGCAGCTGCTTCTCTCCCAAAAATCTGATGAAGAATAAACCATAAATGTAAGCCTCTGCCGGAGAAAAGTGGCAAGCCTTTAGCATATTTCCAGGGCGAGTTTTCACTGTAGTTATGAAGTTAATCTGCTGTAACCAGGCTAAATAACATCTTTTGGCTTGGCCCAGCTGCTCAGTTTTTCTTTTGTTGTTTCCACCATACTCCACTTGAGTAGAGTATTTTTAGAGTAGGAGTTCTCTCCTTTCGTTCATGCTCTAGGATTTCCGCTGAAAGGTCAACCCAAATGCCTGCTGCTTGACCTTTTTGTTGTTAACCCCAAGGACCAGTTGTTGACTTTCAGCCTTAAGGGGGTGCGGTGGGGGGTAGAGCGAAGCCCGCAAAGTAACCGCAAAATAGCGGTGAGGGTGGGGAAGGGAACACTTGTGGAGCCTTGCACATGCCTTTTATTAAAAAATTAAAATTGCTAACCGAAAGAAAGAAAAAAACAAGAAAAAGCAACTGACAAAAAGGTAAATATTTTCTGCCTTCTTTTCGCTCCTTTTTTTGTCGTTTTGTTTTTTGTTGTTGTTGTTGTTGTTGGTGGCTAAAATAATCAGGCAACTTAATTGAATCAAGTTGTAAGACGATCCGGGGACCAAAGAAAAAGCGACACCCCACTAAAGAAAATGCCACAAGGCCACCAGAGAGTGTGAGTGAGAGAGAGAGAGAGAGAGAGAGAGGAAATCCGTAAGAAAAAAAAAGAGTGGAGTGCCAGGCAGTGTGGAGTAGGCGCTGGGAGCAGGAAAACCGGTAAGGACTAAATGGAAACAAGGACTAAGGAGTGAAAATGTGCGCAAGAAAGCAAATAAATTGAAGTGAAAACAAATAGCCCTGAATGTTAAGGAAAAGGACTGCCGGCAGAGGTGGGAGGTGGGGTAAGAAAGGGGTTTGGTTCGTTGGACCGCTGGTTGGTTGGTTGGTTGGTTATCCCCGGACTCAACATTCCATCAGAAAAGCCCACAATAACAACTCTGCCGCCGCTGCCGCCGCGCCGCACCGCTGCCTTATTTATAAATTAACAGTTACAATTTTTCCCGCCGGACATACACTTAAAAATTTTTGTGCATAAAAGTTTAATATTTTTTGCCCTCTCAGTTGCCTTGGTGCGTCGTATACACTTACCAGAGAGGGGTATTAGGGGTAGCATACGGTATGCAAAAATATTAGGAGCACTGGCGATAGAAATATGCAGATAAATATCATAGTTTATGGTGCTGTCGGATGATCTTCGGTCCGTGAGCATGAATGGGGCAAGGCTGCTGCCTGGGACTCGGAGTGACCTGGCACTGAGCACATAATATAATATAATATTATATAATATAATATAATATAATATAATATAATATAATATAATATAATATAATATAATATAATATAATATAATATAATATAATATAATATAATATAATATAATATAATATAATATAATATAATATAATATAATATAATATAATATAATATAATATAATATAATATAATATAATATAATATAATATAATATAATATAATATAATATAATATAATATAATATAATATAATATAATATAATATAATATAATATAATATAATATAATATAATATAATATAATATAATATAATATAATATAATATAATATAATATAATATAATATAATATAATATAATATAATATAATATAATATAATATAATATAATATAATATAATATAATATAATATAATATAATATAATATAATATAATATAATATAATATAATATAATATAATATAATATAATATAATATAATATAATATAATATAATATAATATAATATAATATAATATAATATAATATAATATAATATAATATAATATAATATAATATAATATAATATAATATAATATAATATAATATAATATAATATAATATAATATAATATAATATAATATAATATAATATAATATAATATAATATAATATAATATAATATAATATAATATAATATAATATAATATAATATAATATAATATAATATAATATAATATAATATAATATAATATAATATAATATAATATAATATAATATAATATAATATAATATAATATAATATAATATAATATAATATAATATAATATAATATAATATAATATAATATAATATAATATAATATAATATAATATAATATAATATAATATAATATAATATAATATAATATAATATAATATAATATAATATAATATAATATAATATAATATAATATAATATAATATAATATAATATAATATAATATAATATAATATAATATAATATAATATAATATAATATAATATAATATAATATAATATAATATAATATAATATAATATAATATAATATAATATAATATAATATTATATAATATTATATAATATAATATATAATGATTTCTATTTCAATGAATTTTCCTTATTCCCTTATTAAATTTTAATTTTTCCACTCTTAGGGTATCAAATGCTTCGAACTCTCCAAACTGGCATATTCAACTTGTTCCTTCCGTTTCCTTATTTCCATTCCTTGTTGTTCTTTGTGTCTGTGTCTGTGTGGGTGCGTTTGTGTGTGTGTTTTGTTCGAGGATAAACGGAAAAGTCCGAACAAGGTCCTTTGCCGTCGCTTAAGCAAATAATTTCTTTTCTTAGGCATCGCTTTTGCCTTTTATGCTTCGCTGGCCCCTGCGCCCCCACTCCCACACGGACATACCCTACCCCCCGCCCACACCCACACCCCCAATCACCTAACTGCGGACAGCTGCAGTGGGCAGCTCCTTTTCTACTGCTTCCCTTTCTGTTTCTTCTCTGACTCTGGTTCCTGCTCGCACTCTGCTCCTTCTGTTCATTGCTGCTCCCACTTCTACATCTTCTTCTTCTGCCACTCTCCCACAGTACTCCCTGTTGTGCGTTTTGTTTTTAGTTGCCTCCGCCGCCGCTTGTTTGGCCTGCACTTCTCACGCACACACTTTGGGGAATTTACCTAGCACTTGCGCGCCGTCCGTCCGTCCGTTCGTCCGTTCGTCCTTCGTTCGCTTTCAAGTCGAATTCCGAGCATTTATCTCGCCCCCTAATCCCATCCCCCATCCCGTGCCAAGATCTTGGGCCAACTTTAATTTTTGTTTGCTTAGAAATATTTCCAAAAAATTGTGAAATAAATATTATCATTATTTTTGAAGCAAACCCCCCAGAACAGATCGACAGCAAAATATAATACGATTCCAAATTTATTGATATGCAACCCATTGGCTATAGCATGGAACTATATAGCTGAGCCGCGAGCCCCCCCGAGCCCCCCGAGCCCAAGATAAGCCCCCATTTGCGGGGTATCACGAATGAATTAACAAATTTTTTTGTGCGCACCCTAAGCATGATGGAGCTGTATTTGCTATGTGGAGAGAAGCTTTTGCTATCAGCAGAAAGCTTATGGTCATATATACATATATAGTAGGGAACTACTCTATATTAGGCGTTGCCTACTCAATCAGTCGTGTGTTAGCTTGAGGTTCCATCGCGTCAGCATCATGAGAATACTTTTTGTGTTGTGTGTCGGCACAATTTTGTTGGCATTGGGCGGCCTGCCGCTGCCGCAGGCGGAAGGTGCCAAAATTTTGGCCACACTGCCCTGGCCGGGACGCTCGCAGTACATCTTTGTGGAGAACTATCTGAAGGGATTGGCGGCACGCGGTCATCAGGTGACGGTGATCAATGCATTCAGGAATAAGGCCACACCGAATATGCGCTTCATTGAGGCAACCAAAGTGCAGGAGTATGCCCAGGAAATGTTCAGCGATCTGGCGGCCTCCAATCTGTGGCAGGAGTTCAATGGACATACGCGTATCATGGAAAAAATCGTTGGTTTTACGCTGGACGATGCGGGTGTACAGAAGCTATTGAGATCGGGCGAAACCTTCGATGTGGTGCTGGCCGAAATGATTGAAACGCCGCCGCTGTATGGATTGGCGCAGCATTTCAATGCCACATTGGTGGGCTTTTCAAGCTATGGTACAGATTTCCGGATCGACAGTGTCTTGGGTAATGTCTCGCCAGTGTCGTATAATTCAATGATTATTGCACCACGCACCGATCGAATGTCGTTTGGCGAGCGACTCGCGAATCATTACGAATATTTGGTGGAAAAATTGCACCGTCAATTGGTGCATCTGCCGGCCATGGATCGTTTGTATGGCAAGTATTTTCCGGGTGCACGGCTAACGATGGCCGAGGTCTTGGACTCGTTTGCGCTGGTGCTGCTGGGACAGCATTTTGCCGTCTCCTATCCGCGTCCCTATCTGCCCAATATGATTGAGGTCGGAGGATTGCATATTGCCCACCAGCCACAGCCCCTGCCCGAGGATATCGCGGAGTTCATTGACGGTGCGCAGCATGGTGTCATTTACTTCTCGATGGGTACGAATGTCAGGAGCAAGGATCTACCGGCGGCGACACGCGATATACTGCTGAAGACTTTCGCCAAACTCAAGCAGCGTGTGCTGTGGAAATTCGAAGATGATCAACTGCCCGGAAAGCCCGCAAATGTGCTGATCAAAAAGTGGTACCCACAGCCGGACATACTGGCCCAACCCAAGGTCAGGCTGTTCATCACCCACGGCGGCTTGCTCAGCACCATTGAGAGCCTGTATTTCGGCAAGCCCGTACTCGGTCTGCCCGTCATCTACGATCAGCATTTGAATGTGGAACGCGCCCAACGCATGGGCTTTGGCTTGGGTCTCGATTTGAATAACTTGAGGCAGCCGGAATTCGAGGCAGCCATTCGCACACTGATCTCGGAGCCCAGCTATGCCAAGGTATCTGCCCAGATCTCCGAACGGTATCGGGATCAGCCGCAGACTGCGTTGGAGCGTGCCATTTGGTGGACCGAGTACATCATCAGGCATCAGGGTGCAGCGCATTTGCGGGCGGCATCGCGCGATCTCAACTACATGCAGCTGCACAGCTGGGATACGCTCCTCGTGCTCGTCGGCGTACCGCTGCTGATTCTCGGACTGTTGCTCAAATTATCTTGTAGATTGTTGCGGGGCAGCAAACCCAAAGGCTGTCCGTATGCCAATAAGCCAAAGAAACAGTAAAAGCGATCACAGTAGCCACTATAATGTACCTAGTTTGTTCTTATAAGTCTTATCAGTGTTTTAGTTGGTGTTATCAGTGTTGTAGCAGCTGTTATCAGTGTTGTAGCTGCTGTTATCACTGCTATATAGAAGCGGCTCTGTTATCTCTGTTATCTCTGTCATCAAGTTGAAATTATATTTCATTTTTGCTCAATTATTTGCTGTTTGTTTTGTATGGAAAATTGGTGACACGCACCGGAGAATCTTTGTGTTATTTTTTTTTTTTTTTTGGGGGAACACCTTTCGAGTGCTCTTTGGATTTTGATAAGAGATGGCTGATACGCTGCTGACCTACATATAAATAAAGCGGCACCCACACAACATAGGAAATATATGTAGGTACACAGTGAGCTTTGAAAGTTTGAATTTGAGAATTCCTAGAACCATTTTATGCATTAAAAAATATTAAATATTAAAATATATAAATATAAATAAATACATATGTATATCTATAAATATATTAAGATAGAAATATATTAAAATATCTGAATTAAATGATTATAAAATCCATTTTTAACTTGTATTTTATTTTATTTATTGTCATTTATTTTATTATTATTTAATTTATTATTATTATTATTTTTGAAAACTTTGAATTTGATAATTCCTAGAACCATTTTATGCATTAAAAAATATTAAATATTAAAATATATAAATATTAAAATATATAAATATAAATAAATACATATGTATATCTATAAATATATTAAGATAGAAATATATTAAAATATCTGAATTAAATGATTATAAAATCCATTTTTAACTTGTATTTTATTTTATTTATTGTCATTTATTTTATTATTATTTAGTTTATTATTATTATTTTTTTTGAAAAGTTTGAATTTGATAATTCCTAGAACCATTTTATGCCTTAAAATATCTGAATTAAATGATTATATAATCCATTTTTAATTTGTATTTTTATTTTTTGTTTTAATTGTTATTTATTTATTTATCGTTATTTTATTATTATTTATTAATTTGTTTGTTTAATTAGTTTGGCAATAGCTATTTTATTTCTTTAATTTCTAATATTTCTAATTTTGTTTTGTTTGCCATTTTCAAATTTTCTAAAATTAAATTTGTTTGATAATGCCATTCAATAAATGAATTTTCCTAATCTTAATCGATGCAGCTCAGCTTGTAATTTAATTGCCAATTAAAAAACGCACCTTTAAACAAAAATGAAATATGTGTGTGTGTTTTGCATACAAATTAAGACGTGTAGCCAATCTACAGCGTGTGCTGATGGAAGCGATCTAAAGATTAGCCAAATAAAGAGAGGAAACTTTAAGAGAATTTCATATAGAAAATATATTTAAAGAGAAAAAGAGTGCGCACCGCTAAAAAAGCTTTGAATTTAATATTTCCCAGCTGATTTCTATTAATAAATATACTATAAAGTATAAAATGCATTACTCGTGGCGTATACGTGATATTTCATGAAATTGATCCATTTTTTTTTGTTCTATAATTTTACTGCATTAACCAGCCCACACGTTTTGCTTGATTAAATTAAAGGCATTTTAGGTTAATTTATCTTTTGAGTGCCTTCACTTTTCCCTCGGTTTCCACGGCCCACTCTGAAGAACTTTTCGGCCAAAAGTACACAAAAATTATCAGACAAAAAAAAACTGTATCTTAATTGTGGGTTACCTTTTTTCGAGAGAGAGAAAGAGAGAGCGAGCAACAGAGAGATTGAGAGAATGCGGAAGGAGATGGAAATTTTTCGTGAGAAAAAAAGTGAACCCAAATTTGTGTCCGTGCAGCAGCAGCGGCAGCAGCAGGGCATCAGGACACGCCCTAAATCACTGGCTTTTTATCAACTTCAACTTGAAACGAAATTCAAATGTTTCGCTCGTTTTTCTCCAGCTCCGGCTCCGACTACGGCTCCGGCTGTTGCCCCTAACAACTGGTAGGGACAGCCAGCAGAGCAGACACACACTCGCACAAAAAAAAAAAAAACAGCTGAAGAAAAAAAGCAGAAAAAAGCAGAAAAAAAGGCAGCGTGTCCCCCAAGCCACTTTGCACTAAGTACTCCACACAAAATTCCGTTTGAAGTTTTTTCGGCTACCCCGGGACGCCCTGGCGAAGGCCCTGGCCCTGGGTACAGCACACACGCACACACACCTGTACAGTGGAGCACCTCTATAAGCACACACGCACACACATACACTCTGGGATCGTGCTTGCTTACCTCTTCCATGGAGGTGGCAACCATCCGCCGCTTGGCTTGTAAATTGTATCCGTTTCAGGCACATAAATTGTTGTCAACTTCCGTTGGCTGCGACAACGTCGCCACCGACCGAACGAACGACCAAACGCCGCTGACCAAACGCCACCTCTGTGTCCAGAGATGGGTGGCCGGCCTCCTCCAGTGCAACTCCCAGCCAGGTTCTGCTTTCTGCTAACCCTTTTCCAGACTCTCCGCCAAACGTATGGGCTAGCTTTGAGCTTGAGAGAATACGCCAGAAGGGCCAGGCAGGGCGTTTGTCTTTCTATCGTATTTTTTTTTGTACCTTTTAATTGTGTGTAGGGAGAAGGTATATAGGACATGGGCTGCAGTAGGTAACAGGGGTAGGGAAAAGATGAACTAGCGACTGTGCAGATATCTGAGTATAACCCCTAAAAATATTGGAAATAAATAAGCTAGAGTTCGATCGAAGCTGCTCGAGAACCTGCATGATCCAATGTGGTTGCAGCTCGAATTGCTGCTGCTCAGTGTTCTGAGAGCATCGAACATGTTCCAGCGAACTTTCTGCATTTGGGTTGGGTTTGATGCTCGCTTCTAGCTTTGTGTATGAGACGCAACCTGTCTGAGACGCAGCCTGTATGAGACGCTACAGCAAGAAGAGGACGATCGAGCCGAGATGCTCTTTTAATGCAAACAATTTTCTACATTTACCCAGCATAATAACTACTCAGACTTTTTTCACTTTATTTATTTTTATTTATTTATTTTTATTTATGTTTTTTTTTCTCTAAAAAATCCAATAAAATCAGCTAAGCAGAGGTATTATTCCGTCGTCCCAATCGACCATTGCTTAGTTTCTGTAACCAACTTTTGCTGTGCATGTTTTTTGCGTTGGTTTTTTTGCTGCTGCTGCTGCTGCTACTCGATGCAGCCAGCTTCCAAAACTCCAACGTAATTGAATTTTTAATCTCGTTTATAGTCAAGTGATCTCTGGCATACACTCTCTGCTCTGTCCCGGTGCGCTACCGGTGTACAACTGCCGCATATTTTACGTGCCCGGTGCTTGGGCGTTCGTTCACTCGTTTTGGGTGCCCAAGCCTTGTCCTGTTCCTGTTCCTGTTACTGCACTAGGACCCACTCCCACGCTCCCACTTCACGTTTCTGTAGAGGCAAATACACTGCGCAAATAAAGTTACGCCTGCCAGGGACACTCGCCTCATAATGAGAGAGACAGAGAGAGAGAGAGAGAGAGAGAGAGAGAGCGGGAGCCGAACCCGTCGTTATGCTAAATAGTTGTCCAAAAAATGGCAACTTTTTTTTTGTGTGACTTTTCCTGCACTCTGCCGCAGCATCAGCAGCAGCAGCAGCAGCAGCAATTGCATATTCAACTTTTGTGCGGGGCAATGTAATAAAATATATCCTCAAACAATACCCGGCGGCGACTCTCGAGCTCACACTCGGAACCCAGTCTGCGGCGATGACACAAAGGAACTTAAATAAGCGTAGCCCGAGACCAGCCCGAGGCCATTTGGCCATATGGAAAAGTCTGCAATGAAAATTGTTTTAATGGAGCTATGCGATTACCACTAACCGACAAGAGAGACTAAAGTTTAAGCAAAGGTTTAGGGTAGTGGCACAGCAAAGAGCCCTGTGTCGGCGGGGAGGAAGGGGGTGCAATCATGTGCCGTGTCAAAGGCGTGTAACGTGTGCATCATTAACTGGCGCTTACGTGACGACTATGGCGACGTTCAATTAAGGCCTTAATTATAAGCAGAACGAGACGCGCTGGTAACGGTCTCGGCCCGGTATCCGGCCCCCCCTTCTTGAGGCAGGTCTGCGGTGGGGGCGTTGCATACTTTTTGGTTGGTTTGTGACACAGTTTTCTTAGACTCACTCAATTATCGTGTTATTTTGGAGGAGTTTCTTGCGTCCTTGATAGCTGATTAAACGAAAGAAAATTGAACTATAAATCAAGGAATAATCACGGCAACGGATTATAGACATACCGTTTCAGGTTTCTTTTGCATTACTGCTACTGGAGGCCCCTGTGGATTTAGTTATGCTGTGGCATATATGGTTTATATATTTATATATGTATGTATATAAATATTGGTATATATATTTAATATGTTTCTAGTGCTTTTCTAATTTATCTCAGTTATTTCTCATGTATTTGAATGTATTTGAAAATACTTAAATAAATAAATAAATTTATTTTATGAACTATGAAGTTTGCTCGTATTCTTCCCTTATATATATATATGGTATTTTTATGGTAAATATATTTAATATGTTTCTAGTGCTTTTCTAATTTATTTCCGCTATTTCTCATGTATTTTAATATAATTTTCTGGTATTTTTTAAATAAATAAATAAATAAATGTATTTTATGAACTATGAAGTTTGCTCGCTCGTATTTTCCCCTTATAATTTTCTAGTATTTTTTTAAATTTATCTCTGGTATTTCTCTGGTATTTTCATGTAATTTTCAGCTATTTTTTGAATAATTAAATAAATAAATGTATTTTGTAAATAATTTTTGTATTATCTGGTAGTTCTCTACTATTCTTTCTGATAAATTTATGCTTTTTGAATATTTAATAATTTTTCCTGGCAGTTTTTTAGTTTAATGCTGGTGTTTCTCGGATATAAATTTTCAGATATTTTCTAGAATTTTTCTTAGTACTTTTCCAAAAGACAAATAATTGTTTTGGTTTAAAATTTCGACATAGTACATCTGTATGTATGTATTTATGATGTGCATATGTATGTGCCTTTTGCCAACAATCATTCACTTATTACAGTTTCTTTTGGTTGCCTAACTCTAAACTTTAAGCTTCAGAGATTCATTGGCTTAAATTGTGCTGCAAAGTGGAAAATTAGTTTCACTTTTTTTCACCACCCATTCCATATTTTTCCGCCTGCTGCTGCTGCTGATCCACTTCGCTGACCATCCACTGGCCACAGGTCTTGCTGCATATATTTATTCGAGTACTCATGCGACGAGTACATCTATCTGTTGCGAGTGAACGAGTGGACATTGCAAATGCGATTGGGCCCTGGTAATGGCATTACCTGTGGGCAGATGATGTCAGAAGGGTATGCTATGGAATGCCACATCATATGGCTGCCACACTGTGTGTGTGTTGTGTG